CGCGAATCCTCAATGCAGGCAGGTAATTTGGCCATTAAAAATAAGATCAGTGCCATTGGAGGAATGGGTTCTGCATACAGCGAACCTGGAATGTAAAAGTCAGGATACAGGAGCTTGGGTAGGTGAAGCTATTTCTACAGGTTTGAGGAGGCACCAGGATGCCAAATACCCTACCTGTGATGATATAGAGGCATGGGTAGGGAAGGCAATCTCAAAGAATTTAAATAGGCGTAAAGATGCAAAATGCTTTAACTGTGGTAGAATAGGACATCTTAGTAGGAACTGTAGACAACGCATTCCTAGGAATAATGCTTTTACCAGGAATGTATCAAACAGAAGGCCTAAGCCTCCTGGTCTATGCAGGAGGTGTGGGAAGGGCGCCATTGGACTGATGAATGCTTTTCCACAATAGACAGACAAGGTAGATCTTTACAGCAGGGAACGGGCTTCCGGGGCTCCATGGAGCCCCGAAGAGAAAGATTATCCGGTCATTCCCAGTGACAGTGGAGGACAGCCTCTCCCAGGACAATTAGAAGATCCACTGCCCATTGTAAATAATACGGCACTGGATAATACATTAGCTCCAGAGGATGAATCAATTACATCAGGAGGAGATACAAAACATATATTTTGGCAAACTTCTATACAATATCATAGACCCAAACTTCCGGTTAAGGTAAATAATAGGGTGATTTACGGATTACTGGACACCGGAAGTGACGTCACTATCCTTAATCAGCAGTCCTGGCCACAAAACTGGGCTTTAAAAGAGGTTAATGTTCAATTCTTAGGGATCGGAACCCTATCTGAAGTTAAACAGAGCGTTAGATGGATTGACTTTATTGGGCCAGAAGGACAGAGAGGAAGGTTAAAGCCATACGTTGCAGATATTGCTATAAACCTCTGGGGTCGTGATCTACTCCAGCAATGGAATACGCAGATTAAAATTCCTCCTGTATCAGCTAGGAATTATAGACAAGCTCTTAGTGGTAGTAAGAATATAGTAAGACAGTACAGAAAACAGATGCCAAACGTACAGGCTGTGCAGAAGCAAGATGCTAGTGCCAAACCTACAGAGCAACCAAAAGCTCTACCATTAAAATGGCTGACAGATGAACCCGTCTGGGTGGGTCAATGGCCTATGACATCTGAGAAGTTAGAGGCTTTGGAGAAGTTAGTTCAGGAACAGCTAGATGCTGGACATATTGAGGAATCAACTAGTGCATGGAATTCGCCTGTTTTTGTTGTCAAGAAGAAGTCTGGTAAGTGGAGAATGGTTACTGATCTTAGAGCCATCAACAAGGTAATTCAGCCTATGGGGTCTCTACAACCTGGGATGCCGTTACCTTCTCTAATTCCTAAGGATTGGCCAATTATAGTTATAGACTTAAAAGATTGTTTCTTCACCATACCGTTACAAGAAAACGACAGAGAAAAGTTTGCCTTCACAGTACCTACCTATAATAATTCCCATCCGGTACAGAGATTCCAGTGGAAGGTACTACCTCAAGGTATGTTAAACAGTCCAACTTTGTGTCAATATTTTGTGAATAAACCTCTAGAAATAATTCGTAAAAATTTCCACATTCGTTAATATATCATTATATGGATGACATATTATTGTCTGATTCAAATAAGGATACTTTGGAAAAGATGTTTGAGGCAGTAAAGGAAATTTTGCCTCGCTGGGGATTACAAATTGCCCCAGAAAAAATACAAAGAGGAGATTCTATTAACTATTTAGGTTATAAAATAGATGCTCAGAAAATTAGACCACAGAAAGTACAGATCAGAAGAGATCGCTACCGGACTCTTAATGATCTTCAAAAACTATTAGGAGAAATCTCTCAATTACAGACGATTATTGGTGTAGAAGGGCATGATTTAAAACACCTGAAAATGGCTTTAAAAGGAGGTAAAGACCTAAACAGCCCACGAGTACTATCAGCTGAGGCTGAAAAAGAATTAGAATGGGTAGAAAAGAGAATATTAGAAGCACATGTGGACCGTGTGGATCCAAATCTGGACTGTATTCTGGTTATTTTACCATCTAGAGAATACCCTCAGGAATATTAATGCAGAGGGACGACATCATTCTAGAATGGGTATTTCTGCCACATAAACAGAATAAAAAATTGAAAACCTATATAGAAAAGGTCTCAGATTTGATATTAAAAGGTAAATTAAGGCTTCATCAACTGACTGGGAAAGACCCAGCTGAAATTATTGTACCTTTAACGAATGAGGAAATTTCCTCCTTATGGAAGGATAATGAGTATTGGCAAATAGCTTGCAGTGACTTTTTGGGAAGTATTAGTAATAACTATCCCAAAACAGAGAGAATCAAATTCATAAAGAAAACAATTTGGATTCTTCCACGTATCGTGAGGCAAACACCTATTTCTGGAGTTCTTACCTTCTACACGGATGCAAACAAATCAGGTAAAGCAGGGTATAAATCAGGAAATATAAGTAAAGTAGTTCAAAGCCCTTACAACTCCGTACAAAAGGCAGAGTTATATGCCATTCTGATGGTACTTAAAGACTTTACAGAGCCTCTCAATATAGTCACGGATTCTCAGTATGCAGAAAGAGTTGTCCTGCACATTGAGATGGCAGAATTTGTTCCTGATAATACAGAATTAACCTCATTGTTTTTACAATTGCAGGAAATCATCAGAAACAGGACTCATCCTATATATATAACACACATCAGATCCCATACAGGTCTGCCAGGTCCTCTGGCACAAGGCAATGATGAAATTGATCGTTTATTAGTAGGTAATGTGTTGGAAGCTTCAGAATTTCATAAGAAACACCATGTTAACAGCAAAGGTTTAAAGAAGGATTTTTCTATCACCTGGCAACAAGCCAAAGAAATAGTAAGAAATTGTCCCAGTTGCTCATTGTACACTCAAACTCCATTACCAGCAGGTTGTAATCCTAAAGGTGTTCACAGAAATGAACTTTTGCAAATGGATGTATTTCACTTCCCAGAATTTGGCAGTTTGAAATATGTACACCATACTATAGACACGTACTCAGGCTTCCAATGGGCTACTGCCCTCAGCTCTGAAAAAGCTGACTCTGTTATTACACACCTCTTAGAGGTAATGGCTGTTATGGGTATACCTAAAACAATAAAAACTGACAATGGTCCAGCATATGTCTCCAGTAAATTGGAACAATTCTTCAAATATTATAATATAAAACATGTAACTGGTATACCTTACAATCCCACAGGACAAGCAATAATTGAAAGGTCTAACCGAACCTTAAAGGAGATGCTTCATAAACAGCCAGGGAAAACAAAGACACCTAGACACAGGTTACACAATGCTTTACTAACGTTGAATTTTCTTAATGCTGATGAAAAAGGACAAACTGCAGCAGAAAGACACTGGACTACAGAGAAGACTTCTGAACTGAACCAACCGGTGTATTTTAAGGATGTTATGACCTCAGTCTGGAAACCAGGATATGTGTTACGTTGGGGAAGGGGTTATGCTTTTGTTTCCACAGGAGAAGAAAAGATTTGGGTTCCATCAAAATTAATTAAAATTCGATCAGAACAGAAAACATTTCAGGAGGAGGAAGATAACAGCCCATCTACAAATTCATAGTCCACCATGGGTAAAGGGACCTCCTAAAAGGAAAGAGAAGTGTTTTGTTTTTTGTATTCACAGGTAAACTCAGCAAAGAATACTGGACATATGGATTCCTGTAGAAGAATGAATAGCTACCCTGAGGACCATCAAACACACACTGTGTGGTATCAAAGTCTAAATCTCTCTATATTGCTTTTTCATAGTATCCTTTTATCTTTATTTCTTCACATACCTCAATTCCCATTCATTTAACTGAAGCTGGCTTTGGAGTTGGATTGGCTCTCCTACTCTAAACCCAAGCATGTTATTTAAATACGATTCAGAATTTCTGTATTATATCAAAGAGCCATTGATATAAGACAGAAGAAATAAAATGAGGGACTATTATCTGTGGATTTCTTTTTCTGAACAGTCTAATTTCCTCCAGGTTTTCCATCTTCCCTATTGTCACCTCTTCTGTATGCTTACATATGAAAGTTAAAATATTTCTTTGTTAACAGTAATGTTCGAGTTTTCCAGAGAACAAGGGATTTCCTGACAGCAATCTTCAACTGCTTCCGAAAGAGAATGAGGATCCACTTCCTTGACTTCACCTGATTCGACTGGAGGCATCTGAATTGCCCCACATCATTGACTCCACCTGACAAGCACTATCCTGAAACTGGCTTGAAACTACATCACTCGACACAACTCCAGACCAAGGAACAGAAATAGCACATCTTCTACAATCTGACCAGAGCTTCAAGATAAGAGCTTCAATCAACACTAGAACCTCAGTCAGGAACTTCAATCAAGCATCTCCTGCCATACTGAGACTGTCTGATCTACTTAGATTTTATTATACTAACATTTTCTTTTCACAGGTCCCCATGAGATTATCATCGTCCCATCTCAGCAGGAAGTAGTTTTGAGAATTCCACGCCCCCTTTCCCTACTATTGATATTATAAGTTTACACCTGTTAGTGTTAGTTTTCCATTATTTTAGAGTTGGGATTGGAAGGAGGTGTTCATATTTGGGTGTTTCTTTAAGATAAGTTTAGGTTTAGATAGAATAGATGTTTGATACATTTTGTTCATGGACACAAGTTAGTTGTCCTTTTTTAGACTAAAAGGGGAATTGTAGGAGGAAGTCTGATGCCGCCATTAAACATGTGACTTACTAGAGGCGCATACAGATGAGGTAATAAAAGGGCGGTTTACCACACCGCTAACCACACCCACTTTAGGCAGGACTAAAGACGTATATGGCTGGACGTAAAGACGTATACGTACGTAGGCGGAACTACGTCACTAGCCAAGCCCACTTTTGGGCATGGCTAGGGGCGTTACGGGGAAGGCATAAAAGACAGCGCACAGGAAGTCTCGCTCTCTTTTCCTGGAGTTCGGCTTCCGGTCCAGTCGCTAGCTGAGATCTGCTGGGCTTCTCGGGGTTTGGTATCTTGTGAGTAATTTTCTATATAAAATACTTAGCCTTATTTTCAGTAATTGTGTGTCGCGTATCGTTACAGCGTCCGTAAAGCCAACATCTAAGTCCCTGTGCAAGATTGTAAGTAAGGCTACAGTCACCCATCCTTTCCTGCACACACGTCTTTGAAACAAGACCTTAACAGTATCTCCCATCACAAGATGGTCTACATTTCTGTCCTTTAAACAGCAAGTGGTTACGTAACTTACTATGATCAACCTATGGCAGAAGTGATAGCATAGCAGCTTCAGAACTTGATCCGAAGTGTGTACCTCCAGACTCCTCTCCCTGACAGTATTACATGAACAAACTCAGGCTAGCCCCACCATGTGATGAGAGAAACGTTACCTCCACACCTAACTGCTAGCCAGCCAATTATCAGCATGTGAGTAAGACTATTCAAGACTAGTCCCACATTTGACACATAGACAAGCCCAGTAGTGGTCAGGCAGGCTTGGACCGGTTGGGTAGAATCCTGCAGATGACCCATTGATGACTCATACACATTAACAAAGCTTGAGGTTACTGAGTTTTGAAGATGGTTTGCTATAGAGCAAAAGGCATAAGAGAGGAAAGAGATTCAGTTGTGGAAATGCCTCTATGAGATCCAGCTGGAAGGTGTTTTCTCATTTAATGATCAATGATGGAGGGCCAGCCCATAGTAGGCAGTGCTATCCCTGGGCTGGCAGTCCTGGGTTCTATAGGAAAGCAGGCTGGGCAAGCCATATGGAGCAAGCCAGTAAGCTGTTCTCATTCAAACTTCTACACACCTCCAGTAAAAGACTCAGTGCAACCCAATCTTATTTTTCATTTTTTGAAAGGCAGTCTTATAGAAGACAATCCTATTCTCTTTGGTACCCAAAAATAGAACTCAGGCCAATGGAGTCTAAATTTAAGACAGACATGTGCATGAATTCCCTAAGGCACTTTTCAAAATGAAGTATACAGCCCTCAAAAAATAATCCCCCTTTTTTTCTCAGAGATGATGTTCAAACAGGGATTAGCTGTAAAAGTACCATCAAGTTTGGAAGAACATTTCATGTTATAGGAAGAAAGGGAGTCTCTGTGTGCTTGCAATTCATTAAAACTTGTTTGTGTTTAGACATTTCTTGGTACCACTTCCCACCAATTGCCTGCATTATTATAGCTACCTGTCCTGTAGCTGTAATGAATGTAATTTAAGACAAGAAACGAGAGGTTCTTTTTGAGAACAAGAAGCCAGAGGTAGGGAGACGGTTCTGTGAGTAAACTGCTTGCCATACAAGCATGAAGACATGAGCTTGGATGCCCAGTGCCCACACCAAACAGCGCCTGCAACTCCAGCACTCAATGCAGGAGACAGGAAGAACCTGGGAGTACTTACTGGCTAGTCAGTCTTGCTGAAATAGTGAGCTTTTAGGTCAGTGAAGAGACCCTATCTCAAAAATTAAGGCATAGAGTAACAAAGGGGACACCAAGTGCTGACCTATGTCCTCTACATAAGCACATATGGACAAGTGCATCCACATTCTTGTACGTACACACATATGCACAGCACACACACACACACACACACACACACACACACACAGAAGCCATGGACATAAGGAAACATTCCTCACTCTCATTCCACATATCCTGTCTCTAATTTAGACTCTCTGGTTTTCATTCTATAATAAGGAAGACAGTGAGAAGCTGCTTCTTCCCCCTACCCCCAATAATGACGATAGTAGGTCAAAGAGTTGCATGATGAAAGGTTTTATGTTCTCTGCTCTATCCAGGTTTTATAATTTAATATTTCTACATCATTGAATGATAAGGAAGTGTATTCTCCACCCTGCCTTATAGTGATAAATAACACCATTTCAAAACAAGGGCAGGAGCACATGAAACAATTCAAGACAGAGATGTTGTGGTTTGAGATGAGTTCAGAAAATTGTAGACAGTGTCAGGGCATGCTGGGGTTTTCCAAACAAGGAAAGGGGGAGCTGTTTGGATGGCAAAAGGGTACAGGCCTTGGTACAGTGGGTATTTGATCCTCCAAGGAACTTCTGTTCATGGGGCTTTCGGCTTTGAAATCTTCAACTTATTAAATAACAGATAGGAGAAAGATTAAAATAACAACCATTTTGCCAAATCTGCTTTTATTATAATGACTCCTACAGTGAGATGCAGATCCTATTTCAATTTTGTACTTACTGATTAATTTCCTGTTGATCTGAAGGTAACTGAAAACCTTTCTGGATGAAATAGGAACAGCGAGTGCTTTTTGGTAATGGGATTGAGTCACTGGGGACCAGCCTCTGGGGGGCTTCCTCCCCACTTCAGGTGGTTCGGAAAGTGATAATTTGAAGCTTTTGTTAGTGAGAAACGTGTTCATCTGCAAGTGTGTTTAGCATAAAGTCATTTTTCACCTTCTTCTGGTGTCCTGAGAGTGTCTGTCTCATGTTTGTACATGTCATAGATTTTGATGAATAGTTTTGTTACTTGAGAATTATTGGCCAACATAGGCATCATCTTTAGATCTGGACTAGACATCACCATCCTGAAATTCAGCAGCTATAGAAAATTCTAGTAACATGGAATTATTATTATGGCAATAGCCATTCTGTTCCACCAGTCTGATTGTGTCACAAAATTCAGCTCTCCACATCCAAGGCTGAGCTACCTTTTTTGAGCTGACTTCAGCACATCTATTTGCTCCTTTGCTTATCCAGAGGACCAAAAGAACAGAGAGGGATGGGTTGATGATGAAGATTACACTGTTCCTTTTACTTGGTCACCTTTACAAGTAGAGTTGTGCTCCTCAGTCATGTCTGCCAACTGCCTGTTCTCTTTGTCTCGGTGTTTCCAATCTACTCAAAAATTTTCCTTGATTTCAGTTTTTGCAATCAAATTCATATTGATACCACATACCACGTAATCTCTCTGCTAGATGCTGATGGGCCAGAACTGGAGACTAGCCAAGCTCTACTTAGTGATGAATAAAATTAAAGTCAGCCTCATACTAGCCGGGAAAATGATTGGCTTATGACTGAAGCTCGGATCTCCTGGGTTCTCAACTAGAAGCACAGTAGAATGACCTTAGCCCCATTACTTGACCTCTCTGTGGTATTAGTTCTGAGGGGGATCATGGATCTTGTTTCCCTAGGATAGTAGAATAAATAACTAATGCATACAAAACAGTTGCAACAGTGCATAGTGAATGCTGAATCTCATGATGGCCCAGTGTCTCACGGCCTTTAGGCAAAAGCAAATGAAGAGCCTGTCATTGTGTAGATTTGAAGCCTTGTGAATTTTGCCCCCATTTTTGTTTGGTTGGTTTGGGGGTTTCGTTTTGTTTTGATGCAGGGTCTCCTGTATCCTAGTAGCCCGAGTTAGCCTTGAACTTTTGAGTTTATTATCTCTAACCCCTGATCCCAAGTTCTGAGATTATAGGCATGTACTACCACATTCAGTTTTATGGGGTGCTAGAGGTCAAACCTAGGACTTCAAGGATGTTAAATAATCATTCTATCAACTCAAATTGATATCTGCCAATATCAACTCTTTATCTGCCCAAGATTGTCCACCTTGATGGGAAATTTCAGCTCTAAACTGGTGAGCATATTTTCTCTTAAGCCTCACAAATACTTTGGTAAACCAAACCTTGATAAATTTCATGCTTCTTTATTCAGTCAGGTTTTGTTTGTTTGTTGTTTTGTTTTCAGAGCTGTCATTGATTAAGAGTTTATTATGTACCAAATTGATCACTTTTCACCTATTACCTCACTGACCCAACACAATAAAACTATTAGATAGTATTATAACAGATTCCATTTTACACATATGGAATCTAAGTCCTAAAGACATGAAGTCACCTGTCCACTGTGACGTAGGTGATGTCTGTGAGATTTCAGAGTCAAACATAGGCCAGTAGAACCAAACTGTTGACTTGTTCCAGCATTATGTCCACTGGTTAGCCTGTCTTGGTAATGTCTCTCCCACCATCCACCCATACTCTGAGGGCAGCATGTCCCGAAATGTCTTACCAATACATGACTGCCACCTTCTCAGGGAAGAAGATCTGGGCATCAGGTTCAGGAAGCAAAGAGCATAAGGTTACCTTAGATTGTCCAGAGCAGGATGGAGAAGCCTTGCTTCTGCCATTTCCCACTGTTTCCTTTGTCTCCAAACCTACATGCACCACTTTTTAGCCTTTGTTCTGGTTGTCTAGATTTCAAAATACAAATGATAGTTAAATTTAGGCTAGCTCCAGTGTGTGTTTAAAGGTTTGGGGAAGATGACTGGATCAAAATCTAGCATCTGTTTGTTCAAGTTTGGCAGTGTTTCCCAGGACAAGGAAAGGCTGAATCCCCTTAAAAGGGTTCCAGCACTAATTTGCATGAAATAATCAATGTATGTGGCTAAGGGAAATATGAGTTTTTCATGATAACCAAGTGCTTTACTTAAAAGGAAAATAAATAGACTATGATGATGCCTGGAGCCTTCAAAAGATGAGAAACAGCATTGAGTGGGGCTTGATTGTGGCTGTATACAGTGATGAGTTTTGCCTTAGGAAAGAAAAAAGACTGTATCATAACTAATTTCATCTGTAGGAACATAATTTCTGAAGAGGAGGTGGCATAAACAAGCAAGATTATTTCTCTCTCGTGTATAAGAGGCATGGAAGTAAACCACTCAAGGTTGTCAAATAATCCCCAGCAGGAAGACTTTTCTGTCTTTGTCATGTTCAGTCACTCCAAAGGAAAATTCTTGATTTGAGTGGATGGCAATACCTAATCTCTATACCTACTTTCAGCATGGAAAATTAAAAAGGAACCCATGGCTTCCATTTAAGAACACAACGTGGAATTTACACACACACTTGTGCCAACATCCTATATGGGAGAACAGAACCACATAGCCACACCTAGCTGCAAGAGAATCAGAGAGATCTGGTCCTACATTCAGTTAAGCATCTATATTAAGACTGAACATGTAAGCTGGGCGGTGGT